AATTACTACGCATATAAACACCTCTTTCAGTTGTTTCAGTTGATTACAGTATTTAACCAAATCAATATCTATTAATGATCGATTGGGTAGGTTATTTAAAAGTTTTTTATAGTGCTAGTCTAGCACTATAATAAAGTCTATATCCTTTTTTGTATAGTTTAAGTTATAAGCCTTTACCCATAGCAATTGATTCCATATATCGATTGTGACGAGTTTCCTCCGCTAATTGTTCTTTTCCATTTTTTATATTAACATATTTATGAGTTCACCAAAACCTGGTCCAACTGTTGCCAAACCGCCAAAAGCAGATAATGCTGTTTAAATTGAAATCAACGGACGAAATTCACCAATTCTTAGTAATGGAATAACCCTTGGTATAACAATTTTAAATTTATTTCTCTTAAAACTTGATTGTACGGCTTTTCGAACAATTTTCACTACATTATTTATATTTTCAGGTTTTCCTTTTTTCAAGATTTTTAAGTTTTTTTTTTTTCTTACAGTTGAAAATAATTTTTTTCCATTTGCTTTTTTTGTGTATGTCTTCTTCCTCTTTTTATGTTTATTGCTTTTTTATTCTTTCTTCCTAGTCCAAATTTTACTTTTGATTTCATTGCGTTTGCAACGAGCCAAGCATATGGACGTTCTTTTAAGTCTCTATTTTTAGATAATCCTCGTTCCCAATCCTTTTCAGCTAAAATTTGATCAGCTTAATGTCTCTTATTTATATCTTTTGATTTTAGATATGCAATATCGTGCTCTCCGCAAGCTTCATCCAATGGATTTATTCCTGTAACTGCTTTTAATATACGTATGCCTGGCCCATAAACTGATAGCCTGATAAATGTAATTCAACAGGTAATGTTTTTGGTAAGTTGTTAACAAAACCACTTTTACTTCCAATTTAAAATTGCAGATAGTACACGTTCACCAAATTTAATACGTGCACTAATCGTGAGACCGTCCAACTGCGGTAAGACTAATGAAATGTTTAGTTTAATAGAAAGTCCCAATGGTCTTAGTTTTAAAAATATATATATTTATTCGAAATCTTTATATCAACCGAAATATTGTTATCTAAACGAATTAATTGATCCAATAAAAGAGATAAACTTAAACACGTTCTCAGAAAATGAAAAAGTATTAAGTCCAGGAAAAGCAAAACCTCATCCATAATAATACTCGATGATGTAATATGTGATAAACAAAATGATATAAGAGATTATATTTGTATGCATTTTATTTATGTCAAGCATATACGAAAAAACCAAAACATTTAATACGTGATAATGCAAATATGATAGTTATATTCAAACAAGATGTAATCAATCTTAGACATATATATAATGATCATATTATTGGAGATATGTCATTCAAACAATTTCTAAAGAATGGTGGTGCAGCGAATGTGGTTTTATGGTTGTAAGCAAAGAAGATTCTTTGATAAATTCTATCAACTATGAAATCAGATCATTAGCAGATAGATAATAGTTCAATAGCTGATGTAAACCAGGGCCCTGTTGCACCAACACTTTTCACTTTTCACTTTGGAAAACTTATGAGTGACTTTTTTTTGCAAAGTGAAAGTGAAAAGCGTTGCACCAAAGACTTGACATAATTTACTTTGCACTTTGCAAATAAAAATTTTACTGCAAAGTCTTTGCATAAAATGCAAAGCAAAGCGTTGCACCAAAAAATTAGATCACTTTCATTTTGTATTGGTTTTTGAAAGCATTTCGATTCTGTATGTATACTTGTTTTTTGTTTGTTTGATATTTTGATGCTATGAGTACATGATTTATGCATATTATGTACTTATGAGTTTAATTTTTGTTTAAAAAAAAAGTTTTTAAAATAATATTTTATTTTAATAATTTATATTATTACAATTTGTAATATTTGTATAATTTTAGTACAATTATATGTTATATATTAATACAAAACACAAAATTTTTGTATATGATTTCTTTTATTTTAATCATAGATAAAGAAGTTGTGTATATCCATAGAGACAATTTTTATGCTTTTAATTTTTTTTGCAGTTTGAAAAGTTATAAAAAAAGAATTTAAATGTAAAGAGTATGAGTATGAGTTGTTTCAACAACAATTATATTGAAAAACAAAGTTAAAAAATATAATAAGTTGCTTTTATATAAAAATTTAGTTGAAAATCTGTCATTAACCAATTTATGCAAAATTACCTTATAACTAACTTAACTAATTTTATTAATTTTAGTGGACTGTATTATTTTTAATTACATTTCAAACAAGGTTCAAAAAGCGACGGAAGTCCAGGCACTTGTGATTTTTTCTTCTATTGTCTTTAGAAATATATTTTTATTATCATAATTAGATACGGATAATTAGATATTTAAAAATGTTACAATGTTAGCTATTATAGGATATTTTTTACCCATGTTTTTTCTTAGTTCATAATTCGGAGATTTTGAACGATAACAGACTAGTAATAATAATAAACTGCTCATTATAATAAATAAGTGTTCATGCTTAAACAATAATTCACGTAAAATATTTATATTAAATGTATTATAAATTTTTTTTAGAAACTGAACTCTTTAATTCACAATTTAAAAGTATTGTCCGGTAATATATTCCTTTAATTATTGCAACTAAATTTATTTCAAAAACAGCAATAATATTTGCTTAAACTAATTTTCTATTTCTATTTTTTTAAAACTATTTTTATTTATTTATTAATGATTTCTTTCATTTTACGCATTGAAAGAAATCACTTTGCAAAATTTGCAAAGTGAATTAATCATTTGCAATTTTTTTGTAAAGTTTTGCAGTTTACTTTTGTAAAGCGCAAAGTAAAAAGTGTTGGTGCAACAGAAAGTGCAAAGAAACCAGTTTTTTGTCAAATATTTCACTTTTCTTTTCATACTTTACTTTTCATTGAAAAGTACATTGGTGCAACGCTTTGCATTTTTTGAGTATTTTCAAAACTTTGCATAACTCAATTCTCAAATTAATGCTTTATGTTCTCAATGAGAGAAAAATGCTCAAAAACTCATAAAAATTTGCAAAGTGAAAAGTGAAAAGTGTTGGTGCAACAGGGCCCAGATCATTAACAGATTAATAACAGTTCAATAGCTGATATAACTATAACTATAACTTCAGAAAATAAGCAATTCTCCTTAGTTTTGATCGAAGTGGGTGGAGTTTTTCCATTCTATAAAAAATATTCTCTGTTATCTGGTTTGAACAGATATGTTTTTACCATTGCGTGTGCCTTTTCAGAATTCATGATATTTTTAACAGAAGAAAATTACATGTATTTATATTTCTATGTTTTTGGTCTGGACAAACTAAATCCTATAATCTTATATTATATCTTATATTAAACATTTACTTTTTTATTGAAGGTCATCTTAATTGGCTGGTAGATGTTTGGAAAATTGTTTTGACCAGAGCCGTTTTTTTCTCAGATAAAAGTCTATCCCAGGGCATACAGTTTTGAAGTGTTAATTTTTGTGGCGTTATGGTTTCATGGAATAAACACCAAAAGTCTTAGGGAAGCAAAGAAAAATGTTGAAAACAAAATGTTAAAGTAATTATTTTTATCTTAAACTATTTTTTGTTATAGGTACATCGAAATTTATTGAATAAGTAAATATAAAAAAAATATTTTTATACTTGCGAAGTTTTTAATAGTAACTGTCATAGGTTTCATGTCTTGTAGAGTCAAGATTTTTTAGACTTGGTTTTGTTTTGTGAAGGGGTGTGTTGTTTCAAATTGTCCATGTGAACTAAAAAACTTCTTATAACAGCTCTGGATCTGACAGAACATAATAGCTCAATAATTCTTAGAGGAGAGTAATACGAGACAACACCTGTAATGCTCACAAGTTCCTAAGGCTCTACAGATCTGAACTGCTTAACTTTTAAATGAATATGTTGTTCTGCACTCATACATTTTTAAAATGTATCTTAGACCAAGAATCTCACACTAAGAAATATTTCTAATTTATGTTATTTATTTTTTTTTTTGTGTGCTGGCTGTATTGTGTTGGACTTGAACACTTCAGTCTTGAGTTGTATAAAGCAGCGTTAAGTAAATGATAGGAATGTGTGGTATCCGAACAATATATTTTTAAGACTCTTTATTCGGAATTGATGCCTCAATGAGATTTTGAATCAGTTTTTTGACAGCTAATCTACATGCGGCCCGCGGCTAGTGTTTGTGGAGCCAGCGACATGTTTTCAATCTACTGTAATTACACAAATTTTCTATTTGTGTCTTTTTAACCAAATAAATGAGTTTATAACAAATAAATGAGTTTAAATTTATAAATAAATAAAACTTAATTTAATATTATAATCATATTTTTATTTTTATCAAAAAGAACTATAAATGTATGTTTTAGTATCTGCGGCCCTCTAGTCTGTACAGTAATTATTATTGGCTCGCGATTGCATCTGGTCTGGACAGCCCTGCTTTACAGTATCATTGGCAGTCACAAAGAACTGAATTGATTTGTAAGTTGCAGATTTGATGTCACTATATATGAGACGGAACTATTTTTTATACAATACATTACAGACCGTACAGAGTTCATTGAAGTACAAGCTATGAAAACAATGTAATTCAAACAATTATTTTGTATGCTGGTCATCTTAAATATAGCCTTTGTTTATATATTGGTATGGCCACACAAATTATTTATATTATATTATAGTAATTAAGTATTATATTTGTTTATTTATTATTATTTGTTAGCTTTAAAGACCTTTAATTAGCACTTATGGCCCTAGACGAAGACTTTAAATACAATTGTGACTATACCTTATTGAATAAAGGCATTAGTATATTACTTAATTGTTCATAAATGAATTGTTCAAATTTTTATTAGACTTACTTATGCCATTAAAATCAAAACCAATAGAAAAAACAGAAGTAAATTAATTTAATAAGCTAAACATATGTTGCTCAAGGGCTATTAAAAGCCTGTCGACACATCGCATAGCACATAACTTACCCACCACATCCAAGTACCCCATTTGACTTTTCATTGGATCTGTATTTATTTGACACATGTACCAGCCCTTATCGGTCTCTTTAATATCCTTGATTTTCATTGTCCAAGTTTTATGTTCTGAATTAGTGATGCCAATGCGCTGATTTTTAGTTATGACATGATTTTGTATCGTAAGAATTGTTTGTGTATCTACACGCAACCACGCCACCTGCAATTTGACAAACATGCAACATTTTATAAAATGTTTATAATGCTATTCTTACAACAAATATAATTCTCAAAAGCAATAAAAATCAATACTGGATGACACCAGAAAGGAAATATGACTTTCAAGTGTATATAGATGTGCATATAACCTGCTACTCGTACGTAACTGGGCATTTAGACTGTGATTTGTTTAAATAAGATTGCTATTATATTATCACTACTATGATCTTAATGTCATGTGTCTAAAATATGATATGTGTACAATTTTGCCATATCGGCTTTTGTTGTTCCATAAATTCTTCACTTTTTGCAATGTATATATTCAAATTATGAGCTGCTTAATTAGAGAAGCACATAAAAAAGAAAGCAACAACACAAGATAGATGAACCATTTACAAAAAATATAATTTGCGACAATAACAATGTTGTCATGTGTACTAAAGTGCAGATAAAGCGAAATAGTAACCCAGTTAGCGACAGTTCAGCGATGATGCATCGATACTTTAGAATCCGCTACCATACCAAATAAAAGTACTTTTTGCATTGCATGTCATAGGAAAACCATCGATGCTTTATTAATAGCTAGGAATATTTAAAAGCATCATTGCAGTGATGCTTTTTTGGATAAAAGAAGGTGTGAAACATCAATATAAACGAGTGATGAAGTTAATATAATTTTATATGGGAATCGTTATCGCTGCCACAAAGCATTCAAAAGTATCAGCAAGGAATCAAAAAATTAAAAAAAAAATCGTTTATATCGTTTGTGAAGAAAATATGTACATATATTTCTTTTGAAATGATAATTAAATTAATATTATATATTATATAAAAAAGAACTAGACAGAATTTATATATAAAAAATGCACACAAAATTTTTACAGTTGGTGATTGAAAAAAATGTCGACTTTGTCATCATCAGCGAACAGTACAAGAAAATACAGAATGGAATCTGGATCAAACAGGAAAAGAACAGAATATTGATGGACGGAAAAAATTGCACAACTCAGAAGAGTGTATCATCAAAAGAGACGATAATTGACTAGAAATAAAAGAAGAAGTATATCCATTACAGAAGTCGAAGACTACAGAGTGGCAAAAATGACTTTGAAGACAATTGTATTGAAATAAAAAAAAATAGAAAATGGGAAGAGCCCATTGGGATTGGGCTCCATAATATAATAATAATATAATATAATATAATATAATATAATATAATATAATATAATATAATATAATATAAT